GATTATCGTTGGGGTGGAGAAGATCTGAGGAAAACAATAATTCGTTGGGCAGATTCTCTAAATGACAAAGTTAAAAACAAAGCTGAGATAGCTATAAAAGAGATTGACTCAGCATCTTCACATTGCTGTTCTTTCAGAATAAATGATCACTCATTAGTAAGTTCACCTCCTCATAAAAGCATCTATGTTCGGTGATACTACCTCTAAGTGTTCAACTCATCTAAGTAACTCTAATGTTTTGAGTTTAATCTCCTCCTTAGGTTCCTCCTGTGAAGGAAGTTAGGAGATTGTTGAGAATTCAGGCACTAAGATGCCATGCAATATACTGCCAAAGTGGTAGCAGGCTGAATGTGATTCCTGTTCTCGCTTCAAGATCACAAGCCCTCAGGTAATATCCTGCCCATCTTCTATGTCTTTTGAATCTTTCTTTTCAACAAATTCTCACAGTGCTAGTATCAAACTGTCAATCCTGTTAGACGTGGATCTTGAGTCTTATTTATGACTTAACAGGTAATTAGCTAAGGTAAGTAAAATTTGTCTAAGGATTTTGACTTTAGTAGATATTTACTTTTGACTGAGACTAAGAAGTGAGGTGACACTGAAGATATCTTGAAGAAAAAAGGGATCTATTTCTGAAATAAAGGATTTGCCCAACAATTCCCCCTTTATCACCTTGACTATTGCTTTGAAAATCTGAGGATTACATAGAAGGGGAACCACGACTAGCTTTCTTGATTGAATAAATGACTTTTGATTTTTTAAGTTGAAATACAAGGTTAAAAAGTTCATGGGAGTAAATTTTGATGGATATAGATGATTCATATAACCCCAATTAGTGAGAGATTAAGGTGTAGCAATTAATTTTGTTGTTGTGATCACTTGTTTTATAGGCATATGTAAAAGCTATATTAACTATTGACCTTACATTCAGGTACATGTTCATTCGATGGGGCATAAACTTGTCAAATCTTGTGGTTTTTGTGGGAGAAAGTGGAGACACAGATTATGAATTATTGCTTGGAGGAATACACAAAACTGTGGTATTGAAGGGAGTTTGCAGCGATGCCTCTAAAGTTCACTCAAACAGGAACTACCCTCTGGAACATGTTTTGCCAGCCAAGAACCCTAGCATTATTGAATGTGGAAGTTGCAGCAATGAGGACATTAGTGTCGCACTAAATAACCTCGGTTTTCTCTAGGGGCTAGATTACCAGTTCTGCTCCGTGTCTTGGTTGCTATGTGTTCTCAGTAATCTTTTTACATTCATGTACTTTTCTGGATAATATTTTTTATTTTCCATGTTGGTGCTCCTCCCATCCCCACCCAAACACCAGGGTGGTATAATTAGTCTGTATTGTTTGATATTATTAGTAACTGCAGTTGCAATTCTGTAAATGACTGAGCTACAATATAAGATAAAATTCAAGTTCTATTTGTGTTTGTTATTTCAGTAGACACCTAATCTGAATATTTTGTGAATGTTAAATCTCTGATTAACTGGTCTATGAAGGGAGTGTAAATTCAATTTATTAAATAGTATCTAGTTATCAAAAAGATGAAAGCATTTGCGCGCGTGTTTAATCAAATTTCACGTAAAGAAACTGTGATAAGACGATCACCATGTCTTTTTCACACAATTACTGTAATTCAACTATTCCATTTCTTAGGATAACTTTCTTATTGCCGGCCAAAATCATACTTTAAACTGATTAATTTACTAATAAGAAACAAGAAACATCTTTCCTTGCAAGTATGAAAGTGTTTCAAGAATCTTTTTTACTTACATTTCTTCATGTCATCCTTCATATTCCTTTTCCACAAATCTGCTTCACTATCTTCAAATGTGTCGGATCAATGCGCAATGTTTTTTTAAAAGCTGGTTTAGAGTTGCTTTTCTGGTAAGTTCCCTTTGATGTATAGCAGAAGAAGGTTAAACGTACAGTTACGAAATAAATTATTGTAAAGTCCTTATGCAGAAAATAAGTAGCGTCCAAAAGTAGTTTTTTAACTAAAAGTTATTTATTATTAAATAAATCTTATAATTTAAAAGCCAAAGTCTACAATAATTTCTTTAACAAAACATTTATGCAGACTACAAGGCCTTTCGACTCTCTCTTTCGTTTGGTTATGCTTACTTTTATGGAGTAGTAAATTTTTTTATTTTTTATGTTAGGTTTAATTTATAAAATTATTTATGATTTAGCTAAATATTGCATAGTTTAATTTAAAATTTTCAGTGCACCCATTCATCAAAGAAAGTTATTGATTTTTTAAAAGTTTGAAACACCCTTAGCGAGATTTCTGGCTACGCTACTGGTTACATGATAATCTATTTGCGATTATGGTTTTAATCAGATGGAATTTGATCAAATTTACAAAATTCCAAACATGTATTGGATCTCAAGAATAAACTATTAAGAGAAAAAGAATGAAAGAAAGAAAAAAAGATTTCCCACCGAAAAGCTTCATTATGAAAGTATAACTTGCGGTCCCTCGTATCTCATTGACCTTTCAATTTCCTTTCTCCTTTGGAAACTATTTCCTCTTTCACTTGTTCATGTATCTGCGTGTTCACTATATGCTATATTGATTACGTTTTTAANGAATATTGCACATAAATAATGCGTGTTTTTTCATAAAAATAGGACGTCATCACAAGTTCTTCCGTTAAGTTTTTAGACAACATAATTGATCGATTTCGAAACAGAAGAGACATTGAAGAAAAATGAAAGTGCAAAGCACATGATCCATAGTTCAAAATTTAAACTTTTTAAAAGTTTAAATTTTTAAGGACTTCTCTTTGTTCTACCTTTTTAAATTTTAAAAAGTGGCAGAATTTTATGTCTTCTTTCAAGTTTTACTTTGTAGCACGAACTTCCCTTATAATTTATGATATTACTACACTTACCTCCATTATTTTGATTTTCTTGTAACAACGTTTTTAGCCTATTTATCATTAAAAAATTACAATCTACGTACATTAATTTGTCCTTTGTAATAAACAATAAGTTTCAGTAAAACCTAACAGCAAGTGCTGTTGTTCTGAAAATCAAAGTGAAGTATTAATTCTATATTGATGTATTGTGTATGCCATTGCTACAGTATTAGCTTCGTGTGTTCTATATCAAGTTAATTAATAGGGACATTGTAGCGAAGTTATCAGTCTAATCTCACGTTGATGCAGTTTTACTTAAACTCCGTATCACAAGGCGTTAAGAATGGTAGGCAGATTGTTGAGCCTTGTACAAAAATAGATAAGTGATTCTGAAAAGTGAAAAATGAAGATAAAAATGAGTTAATGAACAATCACAATTGTAAAACAAACTCTTTCACTGGAAAACATCACAAAATTAATTAATTAGAATATTACAAAGGCAAATATATTAATAAGATAGTAATTTTTTTAAACATAAATAATAGATTAAAAGAAGGCCAAATATATACGCAGCCCCTTAAAGTTGGCTTCAATTTTCATTTTGACACTTCAACTAAGGCCATTACTCATTGAATACTTCAACTCCAACAAAAGTGTACCTATTAAACACAACTTTGATAATCCCAAATCATCTTTGGTGCGTGAACATCAGTTGCCATCTACTTGGCAAACAAGACCAATGATAAAATGACATGTCAACAAAGACAAAAAAAAACTAAAATCTGAAGGGAAAAAAAAAATAAAAGAAAAGAAAAATTTCCTGCCTGCATCGTCCCCAACACTGCGCAGTCCCTACCGCCGTCGTCTCCAACTCCTCACTAGCCAAATTTTTCCTGCCCCATCTTCTCCGAATAACGAGTAGAAGCAACCACAATTATCTAACACAAACCAATAACAAATTAAAATAAACTTAGTTGGTATTCTTCAATTTTGCTTAGGTTTTTGTTTATCCGATCTCAGCCTATACATCTCCAATCGAACTCAAATGTAACTATAGACTCTGAATGACAATTAGAACAAAATTCAGTAATTAATTTGATCAAACATACACGAACTTAAGGAAACCCTGGTCATCTTCCTCGTCTAGCAGCTATGAAATATTTGACCCAAGAATCCAATTTGAACTAGCTCAAAAATGCACTCAAACTTTAGATTCAGACTTTAGAATCATACGGGGGTTATGCACTCAAACTTTAGAATCTATAACAACCAATTGATTTCTACTCAAAATTTTCAGATCTATTTTTTTTGTTTTTAATTCAAACTCGATGCTCCAATGGAAGTCAAAATTTTCTCCTCAAATTAGATTCTCAGGTAGCAAAAATGATGAATAAAATCAATTCAGTGAAGGAATCCAACTCTAAAATGAAATTAGAACTCCAAATCAAAAGAGATGGAGTTGGTGTCGGAGGCCGTGGCTATCGGGGGGAGCTGTCCTAAAGGTGATGACAGCAAAAAAATATTTCCTAATTAAACCCAAAAATTAAAATTAAGGAGAGAAGATAAAAATTAAAAAATTTATTTCCTTTGCTTTTCCTTTTCACGCTCTCAAAAGAGAGTGTGATTTCACATACTATGTCATGTCATCATTCGTGTTCAATAGGTACATTTTTGTTAGAGTTAAGTATTCAATAGGTAATGACCTTAGTTGAAGTGCTAAAATGGAAATTGAAGTCAACTTTAAGGAGCCGTATATATATTTGGCCTTAAAAGAATTTGTACAAAGAAATCAAAATAAATGTAATATATAAACCACAACAGAGACTCAGAGAGGTTACTGTTACGAAGTAACTAATACGGATGTCTCCTATAAATATCTCTAAAAAAGTTTATTCCATTGCATTCTAAGAAGCAAATACAAAGATAACAATTTATGTAAATACGCTGAATTTATTGAATTAGTGTAAAAATCGAGTATGAATAATTTTTTGTTCATGCACCATAATATTAACAAAATCAAGTAATTTGAGATAAACATCACATGCACCATGGAGAATATTTAAATTTTTCATATAAAAGTCTCAGTTATTTACTAGACTTGTACTTCCTTCTCCTTAACTTACTACGAAATAGTTAGCCACTAACAATGGCTAGTGTTTCATCACTATTCTATCCCTCTCTTTTCCTCCTACTCTTCCTCGCCTCTCTCCATATCCAATTCCCTAATCTTTTCAGCTTCTCTTTTTCTTCTTCTTCTTCTTCCACTCAACATAAGGTATAAAATATTATTGTGTATTTACTTCTTCATTTTTTCTTTTTTTTTTATATGTTTCTTATATTCTTTTGGTCTCTTCACATTTATTCTGTTATTCATTATAGAAGGTGCAAAACTATGAAAAATTTGGGCAGATTGAGGAAGGATTGGCAAGAGCTAGAGCAGCTATACGTGAAGCAGCTAAAAGACGGACTTATATTTTCTATGAAAATGGGAGTTTCATTCCAAGAGGATCTGTCTACAGAAATCCTTTCGCCTTTTATCAGTTAAGCTTTCGGGTTCCTGTTCCCAGTTTCTAAAAACAAAATGGACCTATTAATTTATTGCTTTATTCTGTTCTTCTACTTTTCTTTTCTCTAATCGTACCTAACGATCGAGTTGGAAGGGGAGGTCTGGATCAACGGTAAAGTTGTTTCTGTGTAACGTATATATTACAGGTTCGAACCGTGGAAGCAGTCACTAATGAATGCATTAGAGTAGGCTGTTTACATTAACCCCTTGGGGTACAACTTTCTCCGGACCTTACGGGAACATGTACGAGATGCTTTATGCACCGGGTTACCTTTTTTTTTACCTAACGAGTAGGATTATTTAGAATTTTATTTATTTTGCATAGATTCTTTTAAGAAAAATATTTGAATTGGAAAATGAAAAATACAACTATATTGATTAAATTAAAATGAAATAGAAGAGAAATATCCATATACATAAGTCCTTTTGTCATCTAGGAATTTAGGAGATAAGGGTGTGGTCAATGAAGCTAGTAAAAATTATAGAAAATCAGAGTTCAATCTCCAACCATAATATATAGGTGCATGATCATTTCTTGCATAGGATGGGAGAAAGCATTTTACCGGTATGTAATAAGTTTGACCCGAAAATCACCATTATTAAAAAAAATACAAGTCATTTTATCACTCAAGAGCATGGGGGTATGGCTTTTGGCTTTACTAAAGAATCAACAAAATCAAAATCTGAACAGAGAAGTCAAAAAGAGGAGCTTTTTGTCCATACCAAAGGCTTTTAAGTTAGATACGCCCCATTCTTTGATCGATACAGAAGCTACTATACAATTGACCCAAGGGTAAAGTTTGCATGGGATGAAGTGAAATAACCTTTATTCATGTTAGTACATGTACGAGATTTTCTCAGTTAATAGAGTCAAATTAATATGAAAACATTTTTTTCCTAATTTAGTTTCAATTTATTGAGTAAAACGAAAAGGGTGTATGGCTCTAGTTCATTATGTTGCCTTTTATGTTATGTTGTCTATTTTGATTGATTACAGGCTACAGCTTGGAAAGATAGTGACAACCCCAAAATTGTAAATGAAAATTATAGTTTTTGTATGACAATACATGAAAATGTAACGGTGGTGGGACAATATTTAAGACAAACCGAAAAGTTTTGATCACAAAATTTGGGAAGCAAAAGGCGACCCATTTTAATTTGGGTATAAATTGAAGATAGCACTTTTCAGGTTAATGTTAATAGAAACTCAATGATCGTTTCAAAACTAATAAAACTTTAGTCATTTTTTTAATGTGAAAATAAATTTTAAACAATAATACTCTTAGTTAAGACACAAAAAGTTAAAATTTTAGTACAGTGTACTGAAGTTCGAAAATTCTACGTGTGAAACTTCAGCACACTGTGATGGAGGTTAGAACTTTTACAAGTGAGTTCTAAATTAATCACTAAACTCATCATATTCTAAAATGGAATAAAACAAATACTACTACCTAAAGAAGCCGCAAAACAGAATGTGCTTTTACGTGTGGTGAGTTTTGAACTCCAACACACTAAGCTAGAGTTTCACGTACTGGTGCCAAAATGAATAAAAAAAATAGTTATTCATCTATATTATTTTAAAAAAATAGATTGGATAATTAACTTTTTAAAAACGAATCAAATATGAATAAGAACCATATTATCCATCTAGAAAATGGATAACCAATAGATAACTAATGGGTTTAATTTTTTCATTTGTAAAGACTCAAAGTGGGGGTTTCTCAAGCTTGTGAGACTAGGAATTCTCCCCAAAGTGATCATATATGGTTACCCATATTATCCGCCGATTAATCCATTTTTATCCGTATTAAATATGGATCGAGTTGGATAATTAATCCATTTTTGATCCGCTCATATTCGACGCAACCAGCCCGTTTGCCACCCCTAGTTTCACATGTAGTAAATTTTGAATACGAGTGCACTGTGCTAGAGTTTTTTTTCCGTGTTTTAGCTAGTGATATTTTTCTTTAAATTTTATTATTTATATTAAAAATTGGCTATATTTTAGTTACATGACATTTGGTGGCTAAATATTAACACGCAAAAAAGTGTACAGACCAGAGGAGTCCTATGTTATAGAATAAGGGGTCACTAGCATCCGTAATGTTGAGAAAAAATTTCACCTCTGGCATTCATATACAAAACAAATATTTGTTAGAATGTAAATGTGCCCCCGCTATCTCCAAATCCTGGATCCACATCTAAGATAAACTACGCCATTTTTACTCTATTTAGGACAATAGGGTAGTTATTTATTTTTGGATCAATTATGCCACCCCTCGTCTTCTTAAGCTGAGAGTCTTTCGGAAACAGACTCTCTACTCTTTCGGGGTAAGGATAAAATTTGTATACACACTAACCTCCTCAGACCCGCTAATGAGATTTTAGTGGGTGATTGTTGGTGTTGTTATGCCACCCCTAGATACTACGAATCACTTTAGGTGATTGTAGTATATATAGGTTATCCTTACCGTACGTAATACTAGAAACATGTATAATTATTTATGACAGGAGCCACATAGAAATGCAGAAGAGGTTCAAAATATGGGTGTACAAAGAAGGAGAGCCACCATTATTTCACAGAGGACCAATGAAAGAAATATACTCCATTGAAGGGCAATTCATTGATGAAATGGAAAGTGGAGAAAGTCATTTCCTTACTAAAAATCCTGAGAATGCCACAGCCTTCTTTCTTTCTATCAGCATAGCTAAGATAGTCAAATACGTTTACAATCCAAGATGCAGTTGTGGTTCTCGTTGGCTGCAGAATATTTTTGTTGATTATGTTAACGTTGTCTCCAACAAGTATCCTTATTGGAACAGAAGCAATGGTGCTGATCATTTCTATGTTAGCTGTCATGATTGGGTACGTCTCATATTCTTCTTCCACTTATACTGATTTTACACTATTAGTGAAATTAAACTGTCGCAGTAACTTGTTTGTCTTATTTTTTCGTATTATTATGGGCAAATATTATTATTATTATTATTATTATTATTATTATTATTATTATTATTATTATTATTATTATTATTATTATTATTATTATTATTATTATTATTATTATTATTATTATTATTATTATTATTATTATTATTATTATTATTATTATTATTATCTTTAGGTATGTTGATAGCGTTAAAAAAATTTAGGCTGTTAATATATAAAAATTAAACTCTCCAAAATACAAGTCGGAATTGGAAGATCTAGCTTCCTATTGCGGATTGACTTCAAGAATCTATTTATTGATTTCTTTTAAGAAGTGGCTTTTATTATTCATAAATTACACTATGTAAAAGTCAAGAGTTTTGAACATTGAAGCATGAAAAATACTTAAAAGAAGATGATCACTAATAAGAATGTTTTTTTTTTAAACTCTGAATAGCAATAGTGTCATTAAAATATGTTATATTATTTAAAAAAAGCTTTATACTCCCTCCGTTTCAATTTATTTGAACTTATTTCCTTTTTAGTCTGTGTCAAAAAGAATGACCCCTTTCCTTATTTGGAAACAATTTACCTTTATGTAATGATTTATAGCCACACAATATATATGTGCCTCATTTTATACCACAAGTTCAAAAGTCTTCACTCTTTTCTTAAACTCCGTGCCCAGTCAAATGGGTTACATAAATTGAAACGGAGGGAGTATTAATTTAAGCTATATCTATTTTTAACTCCTTCCTTCCTTTTTTTTGGTTTTCCTGTCCGGTAGCCGCATCGGAGTCCGAATATATCCGGATTCGCACCGCATAGGGCACCATTCGGGGGAAGCGCTCCTTGCCAAAGATTTTTTCATACCCAGGGCTCGAACCTAGGGAAGAGCAACCCCATCCTTTGATGGCAGCTCCTTCCTTTCATGATTAGTGCCTTGAGTTGATGAACAGATAATGCATGAGTAGAAAAGTTCTA